CCTTAGCAAAGCGCATCCCAGGCTGCATAGCCGCACTACCCTACCCAACCATACCACACATAAACATGACACTACCCCCGGGGTTTACACAGACGAGCCGGCGAAGCAAGAAGAGCGCCAGAAGAAAGGGCCCTAGCCGGCGGGGCCCAGCCAGGACAAAAGGAGGTCCCACAAAGCGCCTACACCGGCCGCATTTGCGGTCGGGGTAGACGACGGATGGGGCCCACCTACGAAGGCTGTCCAGGCCTACACGAGATGAGGCAGGATAAAGAGGGATAATCCCCCTCGATCCCAAATCATTGAGGCCAATTTCTAGCCATGGAATAATGGCACATGGATTTTATACATTTTGATTTTGTTCATAATGGATTAGAGATACGTATAGGGAACCTATACACAGTTTGAACCTACACATACCCACTTAAACAGGTTTCTGTAACATTTACCGTTTGGTCCCTAGCGACCGAGGCGTTACTGGTGGCCCACCCTGTATTATTAACGACAGTTACTAAAAAAAATTGTAAAAGTTCAAGGTATCGCTTGTAGTCCATTTTGTAGTCCGTACCAAGTTACAGAATACCACCCCATTAAAAGAATAGATAACTTTGTGTTTATTCTATGATTGATAGAAGTTGTACAAATTACAATAATGTAATTACAATTTAAAATTGCCGCCACATACTGAAGGAGATCGGGTAAAAGCAGGTATTTTCGTAAACGTGCGTGGCAGCACTGTTAATATTATTACTTACTAGGTACGAAGAAATAGCGTCAGATTGCGAATATTAAAATTAAATGTAGTTAAATACTATGGATATTTGAATGTTTTTAAGTGTTTGGAAGTGAAATTAAAATGAAAATGTAAATATACTTAATTTTTTATTTGTAGCACAAGTGACGATACAAAAGAGGTGAACAAACAGTTTTCATTGGATTCTGTGCTAGTGACAGTTAAACATCGCTAGCGTAGTAGCGTAGCTTTGAAATGTGACTGTTTTGACACCTGACTGTTGTTAAAAACTCTAAAAAAATGCCAATTTGAAAATCCTGCAACATGAATTCGAATCAAAGTACACGCAAGTAAGTAACTACAAGTTTGTTTCTAACTTAAAAATTCGTTTTACGTTAATATTTATAGTTGCTTGTGTGTAACTAACTGTAATAATAATACTAACCTTTCTGGTTGTTTAATTATACCATGTCAGAGATTTATTTATACAGTAGAATCTCTATAATCTTGCACTTCATTACACCGGGGCACGTCTAATAATCCGGCGTTATTTTTTCCGCGTTTGTCTACTATGCTTGAAGAATTCAGTTTATACAGTTATAGTTTAGTTGAAAGATTATTTTACAGAAACATAAAAACATTATAATAAATATATATATGCACACACAAATGTTATATGTATGTATCGATGTACCAATCTCTTTGTTAATAAACAATTAAAAGACGTTTTTTAATTTAATATTGTTTACATTATACAATATACATATTCCATTAATTCGAATTTTCCAGTACTTACTCTGGCACTCTTAGGTTTTTAATGGTGCCGAATTAATGAGATTTTACTGTAGTTTGAAAAATAAATTGAATTGAATGTTTTATGTAATTGAATTGTTCAAGTATCTATCTGTTTCTAGTGTAAAAACCCGAGTAACCCGATCATCATATGAGCTAGGATCAGATGAAGGCCTAGTAGAAGAACGACTAAAAAATTTGTTGGTGAGTCTACAATATATAATATATCTTAGTTGTTGGTATGGTGATAATCATTGATAGTATCAAACATATGTACTTAAATCATTGACAATATATTTTAGTAACAGTTATTAAAAATTAAAAGTGTGTCTATATATTTGTAGGTGTAAATAATTCAATCTTCTGTTCCTATGAAGTCGAAGGTTCTTAGTTTTTCTTTAAACTCTCAAATTGTAATATAACCACTGCATATGTAACCACAGCAGCACAAAACTGCAATAAAATATTGAATGTCTTACATTAAGCTTGCTCTTCAAATATTTACCTTTAAAAACACACTTTGATTTATTGAAAATAGTCCAAGTGCACTAAAATCAAGGCGCTGATGTAAACATTGCAACAGGAACATCTTTTTCTAAAAATAATGAAGTCATTACTGGAAGAAATATGAAATTTAATATTTAGCAAAAAAAAATAAATAATAAAAGGGAAAAAATTTATATCTGTTTGCCTATTGGTACAGTGCAGGGAGTAATGCATATAAACAAAATTGAGAGAGCGCTATAGATCGCTTCCGTCGTCAAACGTGCCTCGTATTTTGATAAAATATTAATTAAACTTACTTCAAAGTGAAGTTTTGTGCCATTTTTGGTATGAAGTACATTCAACAGGTGGGTACTTTTCTTGGACTGGAATAATAAGAAGCAATCTAATAATGAGTGTTATCTTAAAAGGGATAGGCCCATTCGGTAGAATTTTGTTTGCATATTCCAAAAGTTTACCCTTTAATTAGTTAGTATGCCAAAAATCAATTTTTTATTTCAACGAGAAATATGTGAAGTAAATTAATAAAAACAGAGCTCGGAAAAATGTTAAGCAACCATTGCTTGATGTCATAATGCCGGTACGGGCGACTGGCAGAACACCTCCGCTCGCGCTCACTCATCCCATTCTGTGTTAATACATACGGTGTGTGGTTCGCTTGGCAGTTTCATTAATCATTGTTTTTATGTCTAAATAGGTCGAAACCGAGGATTGTACAAATATTGTATAGTTCCAGGTTGCAAAAGTACCTCAGGATCGACTCCGAATAAAATATTTATTTCATTACCGAAAAATGAAAAGTTTGTGTGATGTTATCCACTATCCCCAGCCACGGTATGCAACTCAAAACCACCATCGTTTTTCTTTGGTTGCACGTCTAGGGGGTTGTAAAATATTATTATTTGAACATTTAGAGCACAATTTTCAACTTTATGCCGGAAAAAAATTCTACTCTATCTAAATGTTCGTGTTCACAAAAAATTCGAAATACGTCGGCGAGAGGGACCTATAAGCAGTTAAGAACTACTTTCATTTTTCTTTGGTTGCCCGTCTAGGGGGTTGTAAATACTATTATTTGAACATTTAGATCAGAATTTTAAAATTTGTCAAAAAAAAAAATTTCCACCCCATCTAAATGTACCCGTTCACAAACATTTCGAAATATGTCAGCGAGAGGGACCTATAAGTAACTCAGAACCACTCTCGTTTTTCTTTGGTTGCCCGTCTAGGGGGTTATAAATATTATTATTTAAACATTTAGTGCAGAATTTTCAAATTTATGCCGAAAAAAAAAGTTCTACCCCATCTAAACGTTCCCGTCCACAAAAATTTCGAAATATGTGGCGAGAAGGACCTATATGCAATTTATTTAAATAATAATATTTTACAATCCCCTAGACAGGCAACCAAAGAAAAACGAGGGTGGTTCTGAGTTGCTTCAAATACTAGTCAAAGTACTACTGGCACATGCACATCGTCACATACATCCACAAGTACCGAGTCTAGTACGTTGGGTACATTTGTACAAAAATGGAATGCAAAACAAAATGTAGAAAAGGGAACCATTTACGTCATTGAGAAAATCCAAAAATGTATTTAGGTATTCCAAGTCATTCTATGTTTATAATAAATATGTTGTGTGAAAAATGCATTTCAACAAGACTTGATGTACTTGATATATATCTCTTATACACTCTATTTATACACATCTCTCCGACTGCTCGCGACTTGATCGCCGAGTGGCCGGTATTGTGACGACATTACCTGTTCTCCCGCAGTGTTGACCTTTTTAAGGGTCTTACAAATTCAGAATTAAATATATCACTTATTATTAATCCTATTAACATATTTTTTTTTAAGATATATTTAGGTGGTTAAATACTATCAGAAAATGAAAGAAAAAGTTTAAAATTATATATCACTGAATGGGCCTATTGTGATATATGAATATAAGTAGGTAATTCTTTTTTGGTGATTTTTTTTTCCCATTATTAACTAATAGAAACTAAAAGAAAAGGAAATAATGAATTAAATTTTATGTTACGTATTCCCTCATACCCAGTATTTGTCTGTTTATAATTAAAAAGTATGTCTTACCAGTTGGATACATTCCGTACACACTTGCAACATGAAGATGACTTCGATGACGGTAAAAGAACTCCAAAATAAGTCATATATAACCAACATTCCTGTTTGTTTTTTTACAATAGAATGAGCAGCTGCCAGTACTGTTACAAATGTTTTGAAAAATAACAAAACTAGTTGTAAAGCAAATGTTTTATTAACTAGTTTTGCCAATGTTATGATATCCCAATGTATTGTTGCAATGTACCTCAACGATTTAGCCATGTTATTTTCATTGTATGTTAATTTGTCACATTGATTTTCTTTGTCGTACGTTCCTTTAAGTACTAAATTGGCAATGGAGTTGTTTAGAGTTTTTAGTCTTCTCATTGCAACCAATATAAATGTGCAGAAGTGACCAAGTACGGAGGATGAAATCAAAAATGTTAAATTGTATATCACAAAATACACGGTGCACTGCAGATATTTTTGATTTGTGTATATAATGCACCCAATATTGTTTAATATTATGCAGATGAATGTCGCAGCATATTTAACAATGCTGAAATATTTTACCGTTCTGAAAACAGATCCATTTAAATGTAAATAGAAAATAACATACCTACTCTGTTATTAAAAAGGGCATATTTGAGTACCTAATTTAAAATTTTTCATTTTTAAATAATACAATTCTAAGGACCGGTACTTTCAGTCTATATTAATTAATCGCTCTACAAATTAATCTTAGTAAACTAAATATTCTTAAGCTATAAAATGGATAAGAAGAAAAAATATATTTTACTGAGAATGAATTCGGTCTCCTAATGAAATTATTGGCAGCAGAACTAGAATTGATAGAGCAATCCTTAGGGAAAAGAATAGTGCTTGGCAAAAAATGCATCAATTTGATGATATCTACAATTGAAATGAAACATAAAAGGTGAAGATATAATGTAATAATACAGTATGTATTATATCTCCACAGTTCAAAATATGTTCTATTGCTGGGAGCAATAACTAACAGTGTTTTTGGATAACCGATATCTGTTCCATGTGGGCAACAGTTCTCAAAATGTACATGTGGATAGAGTCTTAACACATTTAAGATACATAATGGATAACATATTATATGTAGATAAAAACTATCAATTACTATTACTTGTACCCTATCCAGTTACCGTGAAATATACATATTATTTCTTCTTATATAAAAAAGATAATAAAAATTTATTTTACTGTTTGGCAGCACTAACATAATTTATAAAAAACTTTCATATTCACCTTTTTGAATTAACAGGGCAGGGTTACTACTGAATAAAGGGTTATCTACTATTATTACTAACCTGTAATTAATAGCGGCTCCTAGTATTCTCATTCGTCTGTCAATATCGCAGAAGGAATTCATGCAAAGTACCAAATTGTTCTTTGTAAAATAGAAATAGAAAATTATAACTAAAGATACAAATACCTGACTCAGTTCTAGAGCTGTTTTTATTCCGTGATACTCGACTTTTTCAATAAATATGTATACAACAGCAGTAATCATACTAAGAGTTAGGATTGTCATACAGCAAAAGTAAAACCATTTTAGAGATATTACTTCATAACTATTTGATTTTGCATTCCATTGGACAGGAAATGTGCCTAGTGAGCGAAGAAAAGATAGTCTCTTTGTAAAACTTCTTATATCATCTATTTTAGCCATATTGGTGTATTTCAGTACTCTAGGATATATTACAGACAGAGTTGTGACTCGGTAATCATAAATCTAATTTTCATTTTCCTAGTTGCCTGTTGGTTTATGTTGGTAATCACTATTCAACAAATGCGTCAATCACTGTTGATGTTATGTCTTATAATCAAGGCAAATTCTTATAAATGATATTATTCAGGACATTACTAAAATTACGAAAAGCTCTTAACCATCAAATCTAAATCTCATTTTTAGGATACAGAATGTTAAGATTTAAGTTAAAAAAAGACTTATTAGTAGCTCTGTTGTTATTTAAAATATTTGGTTGAAATTTTATAATGACTTGTTTGTTTCGCATACCTAGAGCCGTCTCTAAGGTTTCGGCCGCCCTGGGCTAATTATCTTATACGCCTCAAATTACAAACCACCACCAAATCTAAAATAAAACACCTACAAATCCAAAATATAAGACTTTAAGGACCAAAACTACTGAGCCAAGAGAGACGCATAATCATTTAATAAATCTCAAGATTTATTTAGAATAAGGGGATAAGAGAAATTGGGAAATTAAATATCACATATTCAAAGAAATCACAATATTACTTTTTCTGTTTTGGGTATTGTGAGACACTATAGATTAAGAAATGTAAAAAAGTGAGCGAAAAAGACTTCTGAGCTATGAGAATTTATTTACTATTTTTTTTTTACTAATTTACAGTATTTACTAAGTTACAGTATTTCAAAATACTAAAAAAAACTTAAGATACGCCAATCAATTGCATTAAGGATCTTGTAATCCAAACTCTAAATTAAAATTTTGTAAAAAAAAAACAATTCAGTTAAAAAAAACAAGCCTTTTAAAGCCTTAGGGGTGCCAAAAAAAGGAGGGGTGTTGATAGATACTGGATCTCCTCTTTCCGCCGTCTCCTCTAAGATTTGTTTGTTTTATCCCAATTAGGTACACAAAAAATATTATGTAAAATTCCGAGTTATAATAATATTTTTTTTAATTTTAGCTTTGGCAGCCTGTATATTGAAAAAGAGTTGTTTAAATAAAAAGTCTCTTTATTTTCATCCAAAAAATGCGTATTCTTATAAATTTTTTTATAAAACACTATATATTTATTTTCAGACAAATGCTAAGGAGCAGGAACGACCTGGAAATATATTTAATAAAATACAAGAAGTTCCAAAGCTGCGAAGGTCCGTCGTGACCAGAGCTGTACAAAATGTGATCTGTAGCACCCCTATGCCTACGGACAAGAAAAGGGGTTTCTTCTGTGCAGATAATTCTATAAATATTTCTCCAATAAATCCTATTAGTGAAGAAGCAGAAATTAATGAGGAGAAAAATGAACAAGATGCTGAACAATGTGAAAAATTTCAGGAGGATCATAAACAGCGCAACAAAGAGGCAAAAGTAATTTTAATCAGAGCATCATTACCTATCGTCATCTCCGATTCTGAGGATGAAAACGAAGTAGAAAGCATTCAAAAAGGAGAAAATGAGAATGTAAAGGAAAATGGCGACACCAGAATTCATTACGGTACCAGAAGTAAATCGAAAAATAGCATTGAAAATTACATTAAAAATATCCCTAATAACACTGAAAATTTAAGAGCATTCAAAGATAAATCAAATAACAAGGGAAGTAGCTTTAGAAATGCTGTATCTGTTGGAAAACATGAATCATTACAACAGAGTAAGCATTCAAATAGAACACATTCTAACAAGACTGAAGTTGATGCCATACATCAAAACACAGCAGATACATGTGCTAACAGGAATTTAAAAAATGTCAATGTAATTCAACATTTCACAATTCCTCTTCAAAGAGAAAGCAGCATTGACAATCTAAATATTCTTAGGGTGCCAAATTGTATTCGGGATACACAAAACGATTGCAAGGGGTTAGAGTCGCCCTCTTCAAGTCCTGAAAAAAGTAGTACACATCAAGATAATGTGAATTTAGAGAAAAACAAAATTGTTGAAGAAGTAGTTGATCAGGGTCTAAAAAGTATAATCGGAACCAAAAGCCAAAATTTGTCAACAGAAAATAGATCTGGAAAAAAAGAACCAAAAGCGATAATTGAAGAAATTAACAGTCCTACGATTAAAACTAGTAATGTGACTTACAAGAGGGAGAGCAGAAGAAAAATTACTCAAAAAAGTAATTCTAACACTGATGTTAAATCTCCAGAAAGAGATATTTCAAAGGAAAACATATCAAAAAATAAGGGAACCGTAAAGGATTCTGACGTACAACACCAAAGAAGGATATCTCCTAGAAAACTTTCTTTTACATCTAAAGATGAGGATAAATATAATGAAGCTATAATACAGGAGAATCAAAACATATCTGAAACTGTAAAAGAACCTGTAAAATTGTCAAAGATTCCTATTTCAAGATCTAGTAGTAAGTCTAGAGATAAAAACCCGGATCCTACTTCTAAAAATATTAGTCAAAAAAATGCTAGTACAGTAGAAACTAGACGGCAGAAGTGTAAGAAGGAAAATTCTTTTCATCCTGTTAAGTCTCCCCCAAAAAGACCTCCCAGGAAGCTACGAAAAAAGAAATTGGCAGTAACTGGGAATATTTCAAAAATTAACCCAGGCCCATCTGATATCTTACAAGGGAAATTAGATGCAAATAATTATGATGAACTATTACGACAACCAGATACAGAACGAACTGAAAATACTACCAATAATGAGCTTGTGATAGCTGCAAACAAATTAGATCAATCCGATTTTAATAAGGTTATAATAAAAGATGCATCATTGGTATTAGAGAACAACTTACATAATAAGAAAGATGAAGTAAAGGAGAACCATCCAAACCCAGAAAAAACGTTAATTGAAACAGGAACGTCTCCTCTAATTCTTACTCCCGATAAAAATGATAAAGCTGTCACACATTTCAAAGAGGTGGTAGAAGCTGGTACCTCGCCTTGCCATTTCAGTGATGAGAAAGACATATTTCGAGCCATAGATAGTGAGAAAGCTGAAAAATTGAATCAGTTGGTATTAAAGTTATTAGGAAGGTCCCAGAAGCCATTAATTGACAATTCTAGATCTGACACAGGAATACAAAAAAGTAACTGGAACTTACTTGAAAAAAATGAAAATCCATCTGAGCTCCTGTCTACTCACAAAGATGAGCAAGTTCCAGTAACAGTGACAAACAAAGAGGTACAAACATCCTTACAAGGAGCATCTGAATCTCAAGGTCTGAACGAAAAAATAACAGCATTTTATGGAGACCAGCACAGCAAAAATTCTTCAACAGACCATAGCGATGTTATTAGCGATTTGGAGAAGAGAACAAAGAATCGTCACGTGCTTTATGAAAGCTTAAAAGAAGATCTTAGCACAAATTTCTCTTCCAGTGACGAGGAAGTAGTTGAAGGTGTTGATAGCAATGTTGAAAATCGCCCTTGGAGACTTGAAGAAAGCTTAGAGGTCCTCCCTGGAAGGAGCAGCTGTAGACTAAATTTCCTGAAGAGTGCACAGGAAATTGAAGAGGAGAGGCTGTCGGGAGGATATAATTATAATAAGTCAGAAGATAGAAGAAACAGACAAAAAGAATCAGACATAGACATATCTCTTCAAACTAATTTTGCAGATTACACAAAGAAAAACAAACTACAAATATATTCAAGAATGACTCAATATGGTAGTGAAAAAATTTCTCAGAGTACAAAACTACACCCGGCAGATGTTGATAAAAGATCTTCTTCACCAAGGAGTGTAATGTCAGATTTGGTCATTTCTGAATCAGATTCCAATGGTGACTGTCAGTCAAATAATCAGAACGAAGAGCCGCTATTACCGACTAAGAACAACACACTGTATGCAGCAGAAAACAAAAACAATAGTTCTAACGAAGCTATTAAAGATGCAGCGTTTAACTCTATAGTACAAAGTAACACGGAACTAGCACCTGAAAATGATAATAATTTAAGTGACAAAAATCCAGAGTTGCCTTTAAGGGCCACCTCGACTGCAGGAGAAGTAGTTAACGAATCAAAATTTAATGAACGTTCTACATACACCAGAAGCGGTAAAACTAATTACAAAAGTACAAAAATGCAAAAGAATAAGCCAAGTAAAGCAAACAGTATTGACAGCGAAGAGAAAGAGGATCTAGTTCACAGTGACAATGAGATATTGGCTGTTCCTTTAGAAGATACGGACCCACCAGCAATGGAACAGACATCTTTGAGAACAAAGGAGTCTAGTTTGAAGGCTCTCGACAAAACTGACAAAATTGCAAATAGTAAAGCAGAACATCAGTATGAAAAAAAATTGGGGAATATAATAACGTCACCTGAAACCACCTCATCTGTGCAAAAACAAAACACCCGTTCTTCCTTTAGTAAAAACTCTCCGGTTATTAAACCTGTTAAGGCCAGGACGCAGAAATCCAATAGGAGAAAGAAAATATCAGAAAATGATGGTAATGTATGTATTGGGGTACACTGGATATTTTAAAACCTTTTGTTTTCTTAGATGGCGTTTCTTCTACCACTGTAGACGCTGGGGATGTAACAGGTAAAGGAACTCTACTACTCTAATAATTAATTCCGTTTATACGAGGCATATCCACAAAGAGTACACAGCGTTTTAAAGGGGTTATACGCAATTGCAAGGCAAAAAAAACAAACGTTTTTTTGAGATTTTTTTCTGAAAAGGTATTTTATTTTACAAAAACAAAAAGTATTGGTACATTTAGTGGCAACATCTAAGTTTATAACGGCACTAATGATTTGTAAAAATATGGATCTGGTGTGCTCCTGCAGACGATCTCCTGAAGGTCCTCCAAAAAAAAAGTGTTTGGCGGTGACCACGATTTCTTCGATTTAGTTCATCTGAAATCAAAATACCAAGAAGATTCTTTTAGTGAATAGATAAAACTAGGTATTGATCGAAGGAATAATAGAAATTTTGATTTTTGACAAAAAAGAAAGTTAAAACTGAACACATGACTATGTACAACGTGGCAGAACTGTTTGTTTGAATTGTTGTGATGTTCACTTATTTCATACAAGAAGACTCGATTTAGTCTTCCTGTATAAAATGAACCATTCATAAATAAGGTCAATTAATACTTAGGAAAACAAAGAAACAAAAGAACAGCTTCTACTCTGGTTTTTACTCCGTCTACTTTGTAACCGTCCTTACAAATATGCGTATATCCCGGAAAGTACTTACTGGGTCGATTTGAAATTTTTAGGGAATATACGAGCCCCGGCTCATAATAGTTCGGCCGGCCAACGTTTTCAACTAAATACTTTAATAATCTATGAATTGTGCAGAAATAACGAAATATTTCTGTAAATCCTTTTAACTACAATAAAATATAAACTTTTTAGTTACATAAATGAACATTTTATTCAATACATATATCGACTAATGGTTACACAATAGAAAACTTTATCTGTCTCAGGGGTCATAAAAGTTCGGCCACTCTTTGATATTGAGTTACATCGTCTTTGTTCTTAATAACTGCTTTAATTCTGCTAGATATTGTATTTACTAACAAAGCACATTCTTCTGGTAGAATATTATCCCAAATATTAAGTAGTGTGACTTTTAATTCAGGCACTGAACGTGCTGGATGTTTCCGAAGCTGTTTTTTCATATTGTGCCATAAGGTCTCAATAGGAGATAAATCTGGGCTGGAAGACGTCCATTTTAATACTGGTATTTGATGATTCTGCAACCACATTTTAATAGTTTTTGCCATATGACACGGTGCACCGTCTTGCTGGAATATGAAATGCCCTTCCGCCGTTTGACACATCTCAACAGAGTAACAGACTCTCTTCCAGATTATCTCTGTACTTCTGCGCGTTAACAATTCCATCAACAAAATGCAGTTTACCAACACCTCTACCAGACATGCAACCCCAGACCATAACAGATGCTGGAAACTTTACTTTTTTGACTAAACAATCGTTATGATAGGCCTCTGAAGGTGTACGTAAAACTCGTTTTCGTGTGTCACCTACACAAACGTCAAATTTTGACTCATCGCTCCAAATTACGTTGTGCCATTGTTGATTCGTCCAATTTTTATGTTCTCGTGCCCATTTTAACCTGTTTCTCCTCTGCAGTTTTGTTAATAGAGGTTTTTCTTTTGCCTATTGGAAAAAAATAAAAAATTGCCAAGAATTTAAACAAGAAAAAAAAGATAAAAAGTTATCTTGTGAAACTTGAATCCTATTTTTCGAATAGTTCTTTTCGTTGTGGACATTGAAATAGGCTTTGCTATACTGTCCCTCCATAGTGCAGTTATTTCTTTAGTATTGGACCGCCGATTTGTTTTTACTATTGTGCGTAAAGCTCTTTTATTTGCTTCTGTAATTGTAGATGGTCGGCCGGTTTTGACTTTTTGGTTGACTCCGCCGGTTCTTCTGTGTAAATTAATAATATCCTGCACTGTAGAACGCGGAATTGAATGAGAAACTGATATTCGGCGGGCCGAAATACCTTTCTCATGGGCTTTTATAATAGAAACTCGTACATCTTTACTTAAGAGGTTTACCACGAGGCATTTTATGTTAAATCTGAAGCAAAACTTGGATAAAACTAATAATGACAGATATTTTGTTGAATTATTCAGTATGTGTTTTGTTTTGATGGAGTATATCAGTTTCATGGCAGATATGATAAGTGGCCGAACTATAATGACCCATTGGTTGGATTGCATTTTTGTTAACTATGTTTTCCTCAATTTGAATTTTGTCAAAAGTGATTAAATTTAGTAAATTGATAGTCTATACTTTATTACAAGTGAGGTAGTTTTAAGGAAATCTTTCATCATTTTGGTAGAATGTGTAATTTATTCAAGTATTTAATTAAAAACGTTGGCCGG